GTCCATTCACTAAATAAAAGAAGCCAACCTGAAAAGATGGCATTCTGCATGATTCCAACTATAAGACATGAAAAAGGCAAAATCATGGGGAATAGGAAACTGACAGGATTTTTACGTAATCAAAATACTCTATATGATATTAAAATTATAGGTGCACATCATTACATAGTTTCCAAACTCATAGAACATGCACCAGCAATTGAGACCCCTAAAGTAATCTCTGGACTCGGGGTGACTATGATGTGTCAGTGTAGGTTCATCAGTTGTCACTAGAGTGTCACCTTGGTGGGGGACGTGGAAGATGCATGTGTATGGGTGGGGGACACATAGGAAATCTCTGTTCCCCCTTCTCGATTTTTCTGTGAATCTAAAAAAGGGTAAAGTCTGAAAAATCTGGATCAAAACAGAGGCACAAAGTGAATAAGTAATCCCCACAATCATATCCCTGCCGATGGCAGGATCAGGGTCAACAGCCAGTCCCCTGGATCTTCAGCCTAGGGTCAAAATGTTCGAGCTGGAGGTGTTTCAGGGCAGCTGTTCCACCTCCCTCCTTACCTTACAACATGGGAAAGAGACTCAAAGAGAGCAAGGGATTTGTCTAAAGAAATTCTGAAGGTTGGTCGTGTCCTAGAATTAAACACCAACCGAATTACTTGGGGAAGATGATTTGGTAGCTAGAAGAGCTGAACTGGGGGACAGCCCCCAACCCCCTGTCCTCTGCTGGCCCTCCCTCCGTGCTTCCATCCTGGGCCTGCAGCAGCCCTGTGGGCAACACAAGGTGCTCTGGCCTTCTGTTTCCACCGCCCTCATTCTAGTGACCTTTACCTCCCCTCCATTTTAGCCCTGACCCCAGCCAGGGCCCTCAGTCCCCGTCCCTCTAGCTCTGACCACACCCTCCTGTCCCTCCAGTTCACTCCTACACTCAGTCTCCACCAAGCCTTCCAGAGCTCCACTTCCCGCAGCCCCCCAGGGTACCCACCTGTCCAGTGCTCCCCAACTCAGACCCAAGGACCTCTTTCTCAGCATACCCTGACCTCACCAGCACCTCCACCTTTGTGTTGCAACCCCAACACTGGAACAAGTCCTCCCTCCACCCTTTCTGCTCCGTCCCAGTCCTAGGCCTGCTAATAGGCAGTCAGGTCACCGAGTTTCGAACTGCTCAGAGCTCAAAGGTGTCCACCACAAGAGGGCGTCATCACCCACTCGGAGCAGACGGAGTCAATGGTGCGGGCAGTAATTCCCAGGCTAGAACTGGCCCTAGAGCTTGCAGAGGCCAAACATGGGAGCCAGCTGATGTAATGGTTCTGGGGTGTGGCTTGGACATCAGGACTTTTAAAGGTGCCCCGTGAGTCTAAAAGGTGTTCTATCCAGAGGAGTACTATTCTGTAGTATAAAGAAACTGTTGTGCCACAAGAAGGATGAACCACCAGCACACTATGCTATGTGGAAGAAACCTGGCACCAAAGACTGTTGGTTACACCATTCCATTTACATGAAATTTCTAGGGTAGGCGAGAAATAGAGAACACACCAGCCTGGCAGCGAGGGATGGGACTGACCGTGGACCAAGAGGGCCTGTGGAGTGACAGGAGGACTGTGGAACAGGGCCGTGATGAGGGTTGCACACCCATGAAAATGTGTTAAAAATAACTAAATCATGAAATGTATGATATGTAAATTACATGTCTGCCAAGTTGTTAAAGGTGAGGAAAAGGAAAAGAAAAAGAAATCCAACTTAGAATTTTATTTTGGATTTTTTTTAACAAAGAGAGAAAAGAAAAACAATTTTTCTGGTGATTCTAGTGAGCAGCCAGATTGAGAACGCGGTGCAGGGAGCTTGGGGCTGCCCTGACCTGAGGTCCTGTGCACTCATCTGCTGTCCTCCACAGCGTTATTCTCTGAGTGGATGGGTTAGTGTTCCCAGAGTTGTGCCATGAGTCACAGAGCAGTGAGTGGGTACTGCATAAGCATCTCACATGCAGAAGTCTTTCATTTACCATATTTTTCTCACCTTAAGCTCTCATTTCCCAGTGCTTGAGATGTTAGGGGCCCTGTCCCCACCTTACAGGAAAGAGAACTAGACCTCTGCAAGGTGAACGGACATCGGGGTCACACAGCCCTTGCCAGGCAAAGGCTACCAAGCCCTTCCTTCTTCCATTTCATTAAATCTTTGACCCAGAGAGGGCCTGGCTGCAGCAATCTTTTCAGTCATAGTTGTCCCCATATAGTTCTAAGAGCTCTAGGTGAACTGCTGGAGATCACACAGCCACGCCTTGCCAAAGCTGGGCTTAGAAGTCAGCTCATTTGATCCAAGTCTGGAGCAGCGTCTGGGCCCTCAGAGACCAGGCTTGAATCTAAGGAACGGGGTGCTTGCTGGAGCAGCTGATCCCAAAGCTGGGAAGGCCCCCACCCTCTACTCCTTTCAGGCGACAATGCCAGTGCAATAAGCTCTGTGGGACTAAGGGCCTTCCTTTCCCTCTAACTTCACAATTGCTTTCACTTGACATTCCCTCTAGTGCACCTGTTTGGAACAGAAGTGCTTGACACTGTTGATCGACCAGTTTCATGAAAGGAATCTAGTTTCCTTTGCACTCACGAAAAGCTGTTAGCCCTGGCACATTTCCAGGGGCTGTGCTCCAGGGATGCAGGCCAGACATCAGGAGAGGGAAGCCAAAGCCCTTGGGCACAAAGAAGATTCAGCTGGGCAAAGGGTCTTTGCCAGCAATACTTCCGAGCACCATCCTATCCTTGGGGAAAGAGGATTCCCACAGAGCTGCCCGGAGAGCCTCAACACAGCCACGCAAGGGTCAGAGATATGGCACCCAAATGGCAGTGCCTGATCCCAGTGATGATCCATAGTAGGGAAAACACTGACCGACAGCCTGGAGGGTCAGGCCAGACTCTACCAGCATGTGTCCTGGGCAAGCAGCTGCCAGCCTTCTGCAAGCCTCAGCTTCCTCGCTTGCAAAATAGAAACCATCACTCCTCCGTACATGGCTGCTGGTTGAGAGGTGTCTGGGAGTCTAAAAAGCACTGAATCAACATTAAGGAATTTATCCTCTCTAGGCAAAGACTGATGGAAATGTCAAAGCTCTGAGGCTATATACAGGTAGCCCCGTAGGATGCTGGCAAGTTACAGGTGGAAGGAGGGATGGGAAGTCTGAACTGGGGATTCAGTGCTGACTTTTCCATGGACCATGTTTCATAACTCCAGAGGTGCTGTGAAACCATGAGCTGTCTCTCCTTACTTCTCTGGGTCTCAGTTTTCCCTTCTATGAATCAGGAGATTAGCAGAGGTATCTAAGGCAGTGATAGAAAGGATGCTATTAGAAAGAAACAGGCCCCACAAACCACTGCAAAGTCAGGTGCTAATGGGATCAGGGTTCTGGTCCTGATCACAGGGTTCTGTGAACCTATGTCAGGCTCATTTTAGAATATCTGTCACTGCTCTACAAAGGGCAGTCCACCAGTGAAAGTGCCTTCAGGATTCGGCAACAAGTTGTTCCCACCAGTGCACGAGTCCCCTGGGCCTCTTCCTGGGGGGCTGAGAAGCAAAAAAGTGGGAGCTGAGGAGGGCTTGCTTTGTTTGAACCCCACTCACAGCTGGGGCCAAATGCTTCTGCTTTCCAAGCACCTCCAAAATCATCCCAGTGTATGCATGAACCTCACCATTTATAAAGCTCTTTCAAATCTATTTTCAGTTGACAAAAGCCGCTCAGCGTAGGGTTATTATCTCTATTTCACTTCCAGGGTGAGGAAACTGCAACTCAAAGTACAGTGGCTTCTCTGAGGTCACAGAGCCAAGGGGTGGAGTGGCCTCTGTTACCCACAGGAGACAAGAGCCTCAAGAACCGAAGTGAGGTGGAAACCAAGGCTGGTGATACGCACTGCACTCTGCCCCACTTCTGTCACCGCCTGCCTGGGCTTTTTTCCCTTCCTGGGCTGGCAGGAGGGTGTGCGTCTTCCCTTACTTCCTGGCTAATGCCTGCCTCATGCCTGGAAATTCCCCATGTCTAACAGGTGGAGATGCCTGGTCTGGGCATCACACCTAGGCTGCTTGCTCTTTTGGTAGGCCCTAAGGATAAAGAGTATACATGCGAGGAGAAAACAAACAAGAAAAAATAGACCACTTTGCACTCATGTAAGGGGGGATAACTTTCTAAACATTTGCTGCTGTCCCTAAGTTAGTAAGACTGGAGGTGGGAGTTTGCAAGGTCATCGGTGAAACTCAAAAGCAGAACAGCCCTCTTAGAGGTCAGCTCCTCTCAAATTTTTAAATGGTCCACTAATGCCAACGTTTGGAAACCTATGGCCACGATGCACCCCTAGGCCTGAAGGTGCTGGCTGCGCTCTCCAAGGACTGTGAAGACCTCTGGGGTCTAGTACACTAAGTTCCCACACCACCATCTGACTGACCACTATGCCTCATTAAAGCGTGAGGGCAATCAAGGCCTCCAAGACTGGCTGCAAAGCAAATAAAAAAGTAAAATATGTGTAGTATGAAGTCATTTGGGCTTAAACTTATGTGCCTAAAAGGTGCCAGGAAGATGAATACCAAATTGAAAACAGAAGAATTGAAGAAAGTGGGACGAGAAGTTAAGACAAAGCGATAAATTTTACTTTCTTACCATACATGTTTTAGATTTTTCTTTTCCAAAACAAAACAGGACCTCATATATTTATGTGTGAGCATAAGCCATTATTCAAAACAAAACAAAAAGCGAAAAGCCACTCAAGTCAAGATGACCTGGAAGTTGTGGTTCCAAGCCAGGTTTTTCCCCAGACTCTTCTCTTGATGGACACATTATCTTAGAAAGTTTCTACCTCATCAGCAATAGGGACAAGCCCGTGGACCTTACAGGACCGAGACCCAGGAGAAGGACATCCCCACTCCGGTGCAGGCTAGGATGGGGGCTCCCAACAGCGCCCTGCATACATCCATCTGCCACCAGCTCTCTCTTGCAGCACGGCGCTACGGGCAGCCAGGCGGGCAGTGCCTACCTCGGAGAAGCGCTGCACGTCCTGGGTGAGCGTGCCCACGCGCCGCCAGCGGTAGTGCTTCAGCAGCTTCAGGATGGCTGGATTCACCGCGTTGTCAGAGGGCACCGTCCGGAAGAAATACGGGTATTTTTTCTTATCGGCTAGGACCGGTGTGGTTGCAGCAAAGGAAAGCTGAAAACATACAAAAGAGAACCCACGTTTAACTGGGACCCCCAGCAACCTTCCTAGCAGCACAGACACCTGTGGTGCTTCCTTGTGGCACAAATAGATGGGAAAAGAAAGTTTCGAAGCCTTTTCCTATAAGAGTAATACATCATCATTGAAGAGCAGGTCTAAAAGTGTAAAATAGAGAAGGGTAAAAAAAATTAACCAGTGATTCACTCTTCTCCAAAGGACCCCCTTTAATGTGTTCCCTTCCTGTCCTTTCTCTGTGCAAAGTGGTTTTGCATTTTTACTGACGTTTCTTCAGCTCATTCTCCATGTACAACAGGAGTATTTTTCCCACCACATAACATCCTGTAAGCATTTAACCATCACGTCAAAAATTGTGAGCTGGGGATTTAGCTCAGCGGCATAAGCACCTGCCTGGCAAGCATGAAGTCAGAAGTTCAATCCCTGGTACAATAAAAAAAAATTACGAGGTAGCTCAAAAATTCCTTGTGAATATTTTAATAGCTGTATAATATTCCAGCATATCAATATGCCTGTTTATTGGATCATCTTTCATTTGGAAGCATCTAGATTGCTTCTAATTTGTCATTATTTTTCATTCTTTTTGTCCTATTAGTCTACAGGCACCTTTTTTTTGTATTTCAGGATTTTTCATAAAATAGAGTTTGTGATGTAAAATCCCCCCCCCACACACAACCAAAAAAGAAAGGATACACACCTTTACAGTCTTTATGCTTGTTTCCAAAAAATACTGTATCAGTTTGCATACATGTCAGGTATAACTGGAGAGTCAATTTCTCTACATTCTTATCAACAGAAAATAAAACATTTCTCTATCTAATTCTATGATGAATATCATTTTAAAAACTGAATCACATTGCATTCACGGTTACACATCATGTTGAACTTTTTTCCATGAAGTTGTTAACAATAAGCATGCCCTATTTATTTTAGGAATGTCTTTTTCATTTCCTTTATTTTTTGAGCAGTATCCTAATGCTTTTCAATTGAATTTAATGAAAACTTCTCATATGGATAGCATTCAAAACTCAGGCCTTTATAGTTGCTGCAAATATCTCAGTTTGTTTGCCTTAGCTGTTTGTGTGTGCATATTTTAATTTATCCTCAGTAGTCAAAGCTGTCCCTCTTTCCCTTTATTATTTTTTCTTTTTCTTTTAAGTGCCAGTAAGTTGTTAAATTGGATTTTAATTATCCTGTCCTACTAGGCCCACTTAAATGTCACCACTTCCCTGACATTTCTCCAGCTCTCTGCCCCCCCACCCCCCATCCTCAGTCCTTAACAACCTTTCTGATCTCTGCAGTGCGGTGGTGAGAAACCACCTCACTGCACTTCTCATCTGCATTTATCTTAACTTGAGTGAGGCTGAGTCTCCCTTGCCAGGGTTAAGAGCAATTTGTAGTTCTGGTAACTGTTCTCAGCCTTCGCCCATTTTCTAGTTTGACTCTTAGTTTTCCTTATCTGCTTGTAGAAAAGGTAATCCTTCATGGCATAAGTTGCTAATTTTTGCCCAGTTTGTGTTTTGAAGTTGCTTATAGTGTCTCTTACCATGTAGAAGTGTTTTTCTTCTTTTAATGTGGTTGAATTTGTAACTCTCTTTTACATCTTCAGGACTTAACGTCATATTTAGAAAGAGATCTTTCTAAGACTTAAACACATCATATTATACTAACACACCTGCATACTCATGTTTTAATAGCATAACTCAAAATAACTAAGCTCAGGAAACAGCCTACATGCCCATCAAGAGATGAAGAAAATGTGGTATAAGCTGGGCATGGTAGCTCAGAGCTGCAGTGAATCAAAGGCCAATCGGAACTACACAGTGAAACGCTGTCTCAGAGGAACAAAAACCAGACCCCCAAATGCCACACACACACACACACAGGAATACTATTTAGCCATAAAATGAATGAAATCATGCTTTTTGCAGGAAAATGGATAGAACTTGAGACCACATTGTTAAGTGAAATAAGTCAGAGAAAGTCAAATTATGCATAGCTTTTCTTATATGAGAAATCTAAAACAGGCAGATGAAAGAAAGAAAGAAAGAAAGAAAAAAGAAAGAGATGGAAGAAAACAAAAACGCAGACATGTGGAGATGGGGAAGGAAAAGGGAGTTTTACGAAGAGGAGTTAGAGGGACTGAAAATGACCGAGGCATGCTAATCCATATGCCAGCCCCCGGGATGCACTGCAAATGCACAATAATTTTTAAAAGGCCTTTCCTACTCTGCAAAAATGAAATTCCTCAGCAAATTGCTCTGAACTGATCTCTCTTCTTGTCTTCCTTCCCTCTTCCCCTCCCTTCTCTTGTTCACTGGCATCTCTGATGGAGAAGGGCACGGCTGACCCCAGCCATCTTTGCTGCCTTTCGTCTCCTCCTGAGCCCTCATCTGTCTCAGCAGCAGCTCTAGGTATGAAACATCCAGGTCCACTTTCAGCACCCCGGGAAGCCACATCCCAGCACCCCAGACCCCAGAAGGAGGTACTCTAGTGCTGCTTCTACCACCTCGAAAGCTCTTGCTGCCCAGTCCCTGGGAGGGCAGGCAGCAGACCCTTGCCCTTTTCCCCTCCCCGGTCTGGATCAGAGAGCAACAACCGCTCCCTAAGGACCTCTGGATTACCTGGGTTCACTCCTCAGGGAGTCCCCACAGGTCTGATCTGTTGGACTTGATCATGCAACTAACAGCCCAGCAGCCATTACCTAGAATTAGAGAACACCTAGAAAAGGCAGTTTCTAAGATCCCCACAGAGACAGGGATGCGCAAGACTGGTAGGGATCAATGGCAAATTTGTTGTTTAAAAGATTCTGGCAGAATAAAGACCAAGAGGAAGAATCTATAGTGAGTAAAATTCCAGCTGGATGCATGGAAGAGCCTTCACTTTCAGAGTTGTCCAGCAGTAGGAGGTTTGCCATTAGAAATAGTGAGATTCCTATCTGGAGGTGTGCAAACAACCTAGTGAGAACAGAGGTTTCTGTGAACCCCTAAAAAACTGTACAGAGAGTTTGTGTGGATGTGCAGGTGCTTAGAGACATACCCATTTCTCTGAAAACATCAATGGCTTCCAGACTCACAAAGAGGATCTTACCATCCAAACAAGGTCTGCATACCTCACTGGAGGTGGCAGTCAGGCGCCAGAGAGTGACAAGAAAGAACGCAGCTATCCAGTCCCCTCCAGCCTAGCATCTGATTCCTCTTTCAAGACTAACACCACATATCACCTCCTCCTCCGCTCACCAGTATGAGAGGCAACGATCAGAAAAATCTGGGTGCAGCTATTTCAGGACCTTGGGATATTACGTATACCACTGCATCCCCAAAAATGCTTATCTAATGCAATTTGGAAAATATTGGTTTTCTGATGTGATTTCTGAATCACACTCTGGTTGATACTTTACCGTTATTGTCCCATTAGTTCCAGGTCCACAATTAATTGTCGCTCGAACAACCTCATATGTTTGCCCTGTAGGTAATTACAGTGGTTACTGTTCAGTGAATAAATGGCCCATTGTGTTTACAATGGGCTTGGAGTACAATCTATGCCCCAGGTCTAGATCATGTTGGGTGCAAAATATTAACTGGAGCTAATATTTTCTGCACCATTTGAGACAATGCACACTGATTAGATTGTTGTGCATTACTGTATCTGGCTTTAGCTTCCTAAAACTTTCTTCCATGGACAGAGTGCAGATGCATCGCAGCCCTCCTGAACTTCAGAATTGGGGGAATCTGAGAAATCATCTCGCTTTGGGGTTCTCTATTTTGGCTGCACACTAGAATCACTTGGACAGATTTTTAAAATTTTGATGACTTGGTTCCATTCCAAACCAACTAAATCAGAACCTCTGGGCATAGAGTCCAAGCAGTAGTATTATTTAAAAACTTTCCAGGTAAGCGTGGTGCCCAGAGAAGACTGAAAACCACTGGTGCAGACCAACTCCCCTGGTTTTGAGCAAGAAGACTGCAACCTGGAAATGAGGTAACACGCAGATGTTCATCGTAAACAATAACAGGAGGGAGTAGGGCTTGAACTGAGGTCTAAAGGACTCTTCTTATCCCAGTGCTCTTCTCCACCTGCTGGCTGCCAGCCACTTCCGTGTGTGCCCCAGGCCTTCCTCCCCCAGCATCCAGCAATACCAGGGCTAGCGTTGGCACCCAAACTGGAAGACCCACGCTCTGGGCTCGCTGCCTTATTTCACAAGACCAAATTAGTTTCTGAACAGACTGTGACTGAGGCTTCCGGTTAATCCCTTCCCAAGGACTTACTGCAGAGAGCATCTTAAATTTTAATTTATAGTTTTATATCTAGTTTTATGGCATTGTTTTCAGAATTTGGCCTGTACTGTTTCTGATTGGGGAATATATTGGGATTTTGTTTGTGGCCTTTTACACAAGCGACGTTTGTCAAAGTTCTTCAGTGGCTAGAAAAAAGATACAACCCAAGTTGTAGGCTACAGAATTCATTATTAGACAACTTCATGCATAATAGATATAATCAAGCTAATTATATTAACCATATGTTTCATATTTTTGTTGAGTCAATCTATCAAAGGCTGAGAGGTTTCAGGTTTTTTCTATTGTCTTTGATCATTTCTCTGTGTATTTCAACAGATTTTGCTCCATATTCTTTGGAGCAAAATTGATTTTATGTTTGAGGCATAAATATTCACCAAAACAACATCTTTATTTTTCAGTAATGTATATTCTTGTCTAGTGTAAATACTAGATACTTAATAGATGCTCGCTGAGTGAATTGAGTTAAAACATTTATCGTATACCTTGCTTGTTATTAATATTGCCCGCCTTTCTTTTATTTCTGCTTCTGTTTCCCTGTCATAGTTTTGATTCTCTTGTTGCTTATCCTCTATGAAGATTATTTAAACTATGTTTCTTGAAAACAGTACAGGGATAGAATTTTAAATCGATTTATCACTATATTTATTTATTTATTGCTATTATAAATATTATAAATAAATA